AACAATGGTTGAATCAGATGGATTGGATGGATGGACTGGGACTGAATCTGCTGCTGGCATCCCTGAAGGAGGAGTCTGGTTTGAAGGCAGGATGCTTGGAGATGGCTGGAGAGGCCATGGACCCTGAAGACTCAAAGTGGACAGAACGGATGACTGATAAAATGGATTATTTCAAGGAGATTGAGGGAGATTGGGGAATGGACTTGTCATATTTAACTGGAAAACAAATCTTAAGAGTCATCGTGTTTCAATTTACAGGAGGTGCTGTGACTTTGGGGAATGGAAAGCAGTTGCTGGGAAAGATCCTAATTAAAGTTTTAAGGAAATGAATTATTATTAAGAATCAAACAAAGATATTGAATCATGAACATATTCATGATGGATCAGAGATAATGATTGTGATGGTCTGTGGTAGATAAGAAGCCCCTGCAAATTGTCTGAGAGTTAAATATAATAGCAGATAACAGACAGTTTAAGTTTTGAAATTTAATTTTTTTTTTAATTTTATTTATTTATTTATTTTTGGATTGCCTGTTAACCAAGGGTGAAATCCAGCAGGTTCTGACAGATTCTGGAGAATCGGTAGTGGAAATTTTGAGTAGTTTGGGGAACCGGCAAATACCACCTCTGGCTGGCCCCAGAGTGGGGAGGGAATGGGGATTTTGCAGTATCCTTTCCCTGCCATGCCCACGAAGCACACCACACCAGAACCGGTAGTAAAAAATTTTAGATTTCACCACTGCTGTTAACTATATATATATACTTTATAAATAAATACTTTATTGAATTTTCCAATTTTTTAAAAAGACAATGTACAATCACAATCTTGATCCGAGGTGCAATGTTTACACATTTCATAGATCAAACATTAAGTGAATTTCATCCATAGCTATACAATATACAGTTCTATACAATTCTCTACATTTCTATACAATTAAGTCCATTTCGGGTGTCTAACAAATCGTAGCCTATTATCATATTTTTATCCTATTCTTTAACCAGTTATACCAAATTCCCCATATTTCATAGTACTTGAAGTTCTCTTCATTTTTTAGCTCGCTCGTCAATTTAGCCATCTCTGCGCACTCTAGAATTTTATTTATTAATGCTTCTTCAGAGGGGGTAGAGTTGGATTTCCAGAGTTTCGCAAAGGCTAATCTAGCCGCAGTAATAATTTGAATTGCCAATTGGGTTTTATTGTTGTCGAGACCATCTTCAATCATACCTAGGAGGAAGGATTCCGGGGCCAGGGCTATCTCTTGTCCCATTATTTCCGAGAGCCAGAGTCGGATCTTTAACCAAAACTTTTTGGTCTCAGGGCAAGTCCACCACAGATGGTAAAAGGTGCCGACCGTCTTTCCACATTTCCAACATAAAGCAGAAGAATTTGGAAATATTTTGGCCAGCCTGTCCGGGGCTAGGTACCACCTATGCAGCATTTTGTAGTGATTTTCCCTGAATGTTACCGATTTCGTTATTTTGAGATTTTTGTTCCAAGCTATCTCCCAGTCATTGAAATTAAGGCCATATCCTAAATTTTTCTCCCAAATGCTTAGCTGATTTTTAGCTATCTTCTCAGCTCTATCCTCATCTAATATAAAGTTATAGATTTTCGATAGCATTTTCTTATCTGGTCCCCAAATAATTTTGTCAAAATATCCATATTTCATTTCAATACCACGTTTATCTCTATCTTCTTGAAATCTAGACTTAATCTGAAGATATTTCCACCAATCCAGAATAAACCCCTGGTCCCTCAGCACTTCCAAGGGCTTGAGCTTCCCTTCTTCATCCAAGATATCCTTATATGTGCCCATTTTATAGTTCTCTCTTCTATTTGGGGCCACTAGAGCAAGTAGGAGAAATGTACATCTGTCAGTATTCAACTGGGGAACAATATATGCGTATGTGGTTTTATCTGTTTTTAATGCACAATTTTTTTAAAAAAACATTTCATCTAATTTTTGTCTTTGTAATAGTTTTATTTTTTAAAGTTTATATTTTACCTTTTTGAATAAAATAAAATTTAATGAGAGGCATATCAAGTTTCCAGAAAAATATTTTTCATCAGCACACACAGAAGGGTGTATATGTAAAAAGCAGTAGAAAAATATCTGATTTTTAGCAACTAGGACTTGACTAACAACAGAGTCTCATATAAGAACATTAATGGTGGACTGGAAGAAAGATGAGGGACACCAAACTTCATATGTATGTTTGTGAAAATGATCTCAAAATCGTAGTTACTGTATTTTTCGGAATACAAGACCCTTTTACCTACCTTTTTTGGTGAGGAAAAGAAGAAAAAGAAATCTCCCTCTGCCTCTGAGAAATTTTACCTCGTTGTAACAAACAGCAAACAGCCTGCTTTACTTTCATTTTCGTTTTCAGCATAGCTTGATTAGCACAAGGGAAAAAAATCTGCTCCAGCAATTTACCTCTTTGCAGTAACCCAGCAGAGCCCTGCAGAAAACAGCTGAGAGCAAATCAGCGGAGAGTCGGGAGGCTGATCCAATCAACTTGAGCTAATCAGTCTGTGCTGAAGCTGAAAAGAGCTGTTTTTTCTTGCTGTTTGCTTGCAAGGAGGCAGAGGGCAAAGGGTGGGGGCCAGTGGGTGGGCAGGGCTATATTTGGTGTATAAGACCCATCTAAATTTTCACCCCCTTTTAGTGGGGAAAAGGTGCATTTTATACTCTGAAAAATACGGTAACTGGAAACAGAATCTGAGTCAGCAGGAAGATGTTCATGGAAAGAAGGCAAATGCAGCCATAAGAATCTCAGGAAGTGACCATTCTGGTTTGGGGAGACCCCAACTCAAGGACCACGTCCCCTCGCAGGCACCACACTTGGAGGAGAATTTGCTGTTTTAGAGCTGAGCCAGTGAAGCAGAGAAGTTCAGTCTCCTCTTCATGGATTATATGCAGAGACTGAGCAGCCATCAGTCAGAGAAGCTTTAACTGGGATTCCTGCAGAGAGGAGGGGTTGGGCTAGATGGTCTCAGGGTCTCCTCCAAATTGATAAAGGTTGTCATGCCACAACATGTATCTATTGTGCAGTTGTTGCTCTAGCCCCACCTAGTGGCCGGGGGCAGATAAGCCTCACTGTATGGTCTGAAGCCAGACTCCCTTTTCTCTCAGCCTTTGGAGGAGACGGAAGCAGCCGGTTTGACCGAGACACATGGTCATCCGGAGGCCTCCGTCCCTCACACGGAGCATCCCTGGAGAGGTTCCAGCTGCTTCTTTGTTGGCTGTTAGTTAATGCTGCCTATCTCCTATTTATATTTGATTCTCACTCTTTGCATCTCCTCAGTTTCTCCCTGCCCTTTTCTCCCAATGAAACACCCAGATCCACCCCAGGCTCCCTTTCACTGGAGGAGAAGAGGGGGGTTTAGCTGCCTGTTGAGCTGCACACAGACCCACCTGCAGTGGGGACGGAACAAAGGGAAAATTCCACCATGCTCATCACAAACCCACAAATACGGGAATATATTTAAGAAAGAATACAGCATTTTCAAATGAGCAGAGTTTAATATCAAAATGTCATGGTATCTACTCTTTGGAACCATTAATCCCTGAGTAATTGAATTGGACAGATCTGTTCAGTTGGTTCCCCTCCTTCTCCTCTGGATTCCTCCTCCAAAGGATCTAAGATTAATGGATCCATATCGGGACCACCATACCTGCCATGGCTGCAGCCTTGGAGACCCCAAAGTCTTTTCTCCCTCCTTCTTTCTCCTCCTCGATCTGGAGGAATAAGCGGCATTCAAGGCCTGGGCCAGAGTCTTCATCATACTGTAACAGTGATGGTCATTTGGGATCCGGATCCTGTCCCTTTTCCCCAGTGGGGCTTTCTGGGTGCATCTTCTGCGGCCTTTGACGGAAAAGACGTTATTTGAAAGAGAACAGAGAAAATAATGATCTTGAAACTTTCCTTTCACAAAGAAATGGGGTTCAAAGGCAGAATCCTTTGACCTTTCTTTTGGCAAATAACCAAAGTTCCAAATACTATGGATGTATTTGAGAAGTCTACGCCTGATCATTGCATACCCCAAAAAATTTGTGAGGATCCAGACTTTCCCTTCAATGGGTCCTGGCAGACGCATAAATGTTAAATGGAAAGGAAGAATTCTTTTCCAAATGGAATCAAGTTCCATGAAATGAACAAAGACGTTGACATGTCTCCACTTAGAGAGGGAATCCCTGAGGGCTGTTGTGTATCCAGTTGTTGAGAACAGTTGTGATATAACAACACAAATTCCATTCCTGACAAGCACAGGAGGAAAAATCCTCATGAAATTCTCTCCATTTTCTGTGTCTGAAGCAAAAAGGCCAATCAGGGTCCATCTGAAATGGAGGAGCAGGTGGACAATTGCTGGGTACTGGATCCCTTCTTTGGGGAACATTTTGTGGAAAAAGGGGAATTTCCTTTTATCACTCAGAGCCTCTGAAGCAATGTCATGACTGATCTGAAAAAGCAATGAAGAATGCTGTGTTACATTTGGGGTCAGATCAAGTCCAAAATATTAGATTTTAATAAATCCAACCTAGTTCTCATGAATGTATTAGAATAGTTTGTTAATCAGACATTGTTTAAAATATTAAAGACAGAATATTAGCAAGACTGTATCATAATAATGGAAAATAATAAGCAAATTAAAAAACAATAAAAATGTAAATCCTATTACTGTATCACCCCTACAATTGATCACAATTAAATTAACGCGTGCAAATGCCAACTGGAGTATTCTATTCCAATAAAGGGCCTATTATAATTTTTGAGGATTGCTGCATCTTTTTTTGCTTCTATATCCCAGATTTTTTCTGGAGGAAATTTTTAAACTTCTTTCTTCAATTATACAAGAAACAGGCAGACCTCAAAGCCTAATAAGATTTGTCAGTTGCATAATCCAAGTTTGGTCTTTCATTGAAGTTTTGTCTCTTCCAACAGCCACAATTTTTAGAATCTGTCAGTTTCCATAGATTAAATTTTATGCCAATAATACCCATATTTTCTGAATTTAGAGAAAGCAGAAATTGTGTAAATTCCCAAATCAGCTCTGAGGGCAGCAGCTGGAGTCCTTTTACCCACCCCAAGATCCTCCTCAGAGGCTGAGATTGGGTTGGTTCTGCTGGTGGTTTCTCTCTGGAGCCCCAAACATCAGATTGATGGAAGAACATGGGGGAAAACTGGGCCTCAGATACTTTAATCATTGGGGCTGAGGAAGCTGGAGAGCTATGAGGTTTTCCTTTAAGCACCACTTTCACTCCTGCCCTTTCTCTAACTGAGCTCCTTGGATGATGAGGGAGCCAAGATTCAGGCTCAGAGAAAACAACCCCAGGTAAGGAAAGGTGTTACTTGCTCTAATGGCTGACCGTCTATGGCTAGGATGTCATTTCACAAAGACCATAACTTTTGAACTTGCTTTATAAATTGTCAGATAATTATTATGACAAAACAATCCAAGTCTATACAATCCAATGTGTAAGTATGATAATATCACATTATCTATGTAAATCAGTGTATTCCAATACGAATTTAGCAGGCTAAACATGTGCACCTATAACGGAACTTATAACAAAATAAAAGGGTTGGAAGGGACCTTGGAGGTCTTCTAGTCCAACCCCCTGTTCAAGCAGTAAACCAGGCATAATAGCAGTAACTGTGAGAGGATCCTGGAGTCTTAGTGGACAACCAATTAAATATGAGTGAAGAGTGTGCAGCGGCAGCCAAAAAAGACAATGCAATCCTAAATTGCATTAACAGAGGGAGACAATCAAGATCAAAAGAAGTACTGGACTGGAAGCTGACATTGCGGTGAGACGGACAGGAATTGCTGGGGCGCCAGAATTCCTGCTAAAAACTATGCTTCTGGATGGTCCATTTCGGACCCCACAGTTTAGTTTTGACTGTGCTAGTGGAGAGCACATCCTGTGGATCCCAAGGACACTGCAAAGTCCCTGGTTGACCCAGGAAAGCTCTTTTTCTAGCGGCGGAGCAGCAGTCATTGTGGCTGCCGAGGCTGAGGCAGTTTCAGGAAGAGGGAAAGGAATGACAGCGAATCGGACCGATGAGAGAGTTTTACTTTTTTAAATGATACAAAGAACACCCTAAAGGAAAAAAGATTTGGAAATTGGAGACTGGGAGTAAGAGAGGAGAAGCAACAAACTGAATTGGAAATAATCTTTTCTTTTTAACACCCAATTATTCAATTTGAAAGACTTAAGTGTTTTACTTTCACTATTGACCATGACTAGATTGAAAGTGAGAAGATTAGCAATGTTATTTTTTTTTTAATTTTGCCTTTTTAAAAGAAAATAATTGAAGAAACTGGTTTGATTACTTAGATGGAAGCTTTATTCTTTTTTTTTCTCCTTCTTTTTGTATCTTTTTATTAATTTCAAAGGGAAAAGGTTTGGACTTTAAAACAGGAAAGATGGGAGAGTGTTTAATACTGCCACCTACTGGTAATAAAGATATTTTATTTCTATTTTTCTTTAAGTAACAGTCTAGAGATTCATTGTAGCCATAATTAAGTGGCTCTGTACTAGCTGAGACCTTCTGAGCATGCGTGAAGATGGCGGCTCATAGGTGAAGCTCCAATGCCTCAGGGGAGAAGTAGGGCCTGTTGAGGACTCTCGGGGGCCCGAATATCAGCTGTTAGCCCCGGCCCAGCAAGAGGAATGTGTGGGCGGCCTGTTGTGAGCTTTTGAGCTCCCCTGGACAATCGGCGTGGGCGGCTGGAGCCGAAAAACGCCGCGAGGCTATGGCGGCGGCGAACGGGAGGCTGGAGCAAGGTTGGGGCGGCGCCGGTTTGCCTTGGTGCCCCTCCCAGCAGCGGCCGGAGCAGGGAGGGGTGTGGGGAGACAGCAGCTCGTTGGAGCGTCGCTGGACACCCCCCCCGGAAAAGCACCCCGACATGGTTCCCGGCTGTCAGCAGCGGCTGCGACAGTTGGAGTGGCGGCTGCGGTGGCTGGGGATGAAACAACGGCCGCTGGGGCGGTGCTGGGTGGAACGGCGCTACCCTGGCTGTTTTCAGACCGACTTTAGCCCTTTCTACCAGGGTCGGTTATTTACTGCGGAGGGGAGGAAGGGAAGAACGCAGTCTGACCGGTTGCTGACTCCTGAAGACCCCTGAAGACCGAGGACTTAAAGGGGATTAGAAGACCCTATGGAAACTGGGGGTTTGGCAAAGTTGGGTGACTGGCCTGCCTCCCCCTGGCCTGTATCCATTTTCCCCTCCCCAGCCCCAATCCCCGCCGCGGCCTGATTATGGACGTGGTTGGGGCTGTGGCCGTTTGATCTGGACCTTATCTGCACCGGCACTGGACTGCATTGGACTTATTGGACCACTGACCTGACCTGACTATAATTGACCCCCGGTTTCCGGCTATATCATCAGTCCCAGTCACATTCATAATGCCTTGCTGTGAGGAGAGGCTTAAGCCTGGGTGTGGTCACCGAGGGAGTCACCTTGCTGTTATTGCCACTGAATTAGACCTGTCGATACCAGCCGCCGTGAGAGGATGGCTTGGTCATTGCTTTTTGGGGAATCGGCTTGAGACTCCTCTCCACTGCTGTGAGAGGACAGTGGAGTCCCGGTTTTGATATGCGCCAAAATGGTGAACTGTCTCTCCTGGACCTTTAAATGTACCATCATTGAATCCTTAGCCTTATTCCATTTCCCCAGGCGGACTTGCAGGAATGTATTCACCAGCTGAGCTCTTTGCCTTGCGAGACTCCCCCCTCTCGCAAGCCTGGCCTTTCACGTTATCGAAGGCCTACCTTGATGAAGGGCTTTGGAACCCAGAGAGGTGGCATGTTGCGAAGAGGGGGTTGAGGGGTTTTTTATATAAAGTTTTAACAAATGTCTTAAGGGGTTCCGGGGGGGAGGGTTGGATCAGAAGTAAGGCCATGGGTATGGGAGATAACCCACTAAGGGGAGGGCCAGGTATGGCTGTGGAGCACGGTGCGGGGGGTGGGGGGCTGGGGTCGAGGGGGGGGCTAAAGTTCATCCAGATAAAGTTTTTACCATCAGTACTGTGGGTGGGAGGGGTAGATATGGTGGGAGCAGGGGGCCATATCATGTTAGGGGAGCGCGCGCCCGCTGTCTTCGAGTGGTGGCGTGCTCCGGCCCCCAAAGCTCCACTCGTTCTCCAGGTGGCGCAGATCCTCAGGGCCCTGGCCTCTGTGTGATGTTATGCAATGCCAGGTCTGTAGTAAATAAAGCCCCCCTCATTTGTGATCTTGTTCAGGAGGGGGGAGTGGACCTGGCAGGTATTACGGAAACCTGGTTGGGCCAAGAGGGGGCGGTCCCTCTCGTTGAAATGTGCCCACCAGGTTTCCGTGCATTCCATCAGCTGAGGTTGCAGGGTATGGGCGGGGGGGTAGCGGTTATTATTAACGAAGGTCTGAGACCGAGGGAGGCCACTGTTCCTCAGACAGCCGGCTGTGAATCCCTCCTTGTGAAATGGGGTCACGGGGTTCAGATGGGTTTGTTGATCATGTACCTGGCTCCCTGCCATGTGGCAGCAGCCCTGCCCGAGCTACTCAGCGTCATCGCTGTGGTGGCGGTTGAGACCCCTAGGCTTATGGTCATGGGGGATTTCAACTTGCCGTCCATCGGTGAGGCATCTGAGGTGGCTCGGGAGTTCATGGCTTCCATGACAGCCATGGACCTGACCCAGTTAATTCATGGCCCTACCCACACGGGGGGAAACATGCTGGATCTGGTTTTTGTCTCTGGACAGTGGTTGAGTGATCTTGAGATAGGGGATATAGTTACCGAGCCCTTGTCATGGTCAGATCACTCTCTCCTTCGTCTTGACATCCGAACCGCTGCACCCCGCCACAGGGAGGCGGAGCTGGTAAGATGGTTCCGCCCCAGGTGCCTGATGGAACCTGATAGGTTCCAGATGGAGCTTGGGCCATTTCCTGAAGCTCTGGCACACGCCTTGGCTGGAGACCTAGTGGCTGCCTGGGATAGGGCGGCCGCTGGAGCTCTGGACCAGGTCGTGCCATGGCGGCCTCTAACCCGGCGCCGATCTCATTTGGCTCCTTGGTTTACCGAGGAGCTAAGTGAGTTGAAGCGCCGGAAAAGATGCCTAGAGAGTATTAGAGGGCCAGTCTTTCAGAATCGGACCGGACACTGGTAAGATCTCATATTAGGAATTACCTAGTGGCGATAAAAGCAGCGAAATGTAGTTATTTTGCTGTTCTTATTGCATCATCAGATAACCGCCCGGCCGCCCTGTTTAGGGTGACCCGCTCCCTGCTCCACCAGGAAGCACGGGAGGACCCCTTGGAGGGTAGAGCCGAGGATTTTGTTCAGTATCTGCATGACAAAATCACTCAGATCTGGGAAGATTTGGACTCCGACTGGGTAGTCTCAGGGGGAGGGACTGGGGCAGGTCTTGAGAATGTTATCTGGGATGAGTTTGATCCTGTGACCCCTGAGGACATGGACAG